AATATAAATATCTTGAGCATTGTCACATATTTGAATATTTAAGCGATTTTCACCCAAAAACACAAGGTTAGCGGTGTTTACATCAGTTTCATATCTTACCTGSAGCGTTTCATTRTTCGCCATCACGAAGCAAGCAAGTGACAACAAGACCAACAATGGAAGAAGCCTTGCACCTTCCATCTCTCTAGTATTAAAAATAAATGCTTTAAAGACWTGGTGATCAATTAAAAGAGGTATGGTTTCAACGAAGTCATCACACTTAAAATCCTTTAAATTGTCCTAAGAAAATATCACAAATTTTCACTAAATCTGCAGCTGACGCAGAACTTCCTTTGACGCCTCAAAGCGTGAAAARGTACTAAGCAAACGACGAAAAATTAGGTCGCATTTTTCATAATTCGTAATGCACTCTACCTTGTATCCTTTGAAACTTGTAGTAGAACCAGTAAGAGAAATGACAATCTCTGAATGACACTGATCTAAATGCACTTGTTGATGCCCGTTTGGTGCTACCATATATTCWATAGTGCACGTCATACCTGCCAGACACTGGTCATTTTTAGCTGGTCATTTTGGACAAAGACCTTGAMATTTGTGTGGTGACAGCATTCATTGTCAACGGTGAAAAAAAATATTGATTTGAATTTCTTACATGTTTTACATATGTCGATGACTTAACCATCCATTAGGTAACCATTTYCCATGTTTTCTTCACCATCTTTAATAATATTTTGCTTTTCGAGTGAATATTTTTAAAACCCTTGACTATCTAAATCCACTAGTTAATGGTCTTTTTTCATTCTACCAACCATTCTATTGTGCACGTCAAACCTGTCAGACACTGATCATTTGGGGCATTTGTGTTGTGACAGTGTTTATGTCAATAGTTAAATAATTTATTGTTTTTTTGTCATATCACGATGAGCTAGGCCAGCCGTTAGGAAAGATAATTTCCTCACCTTCGTTAATAATATCTTTTTGCTGTTAGAGTGATCTAAATTCACAAGTTTATGGTCTTTTAATTCTAGCAACCATTCTATAGTGGATTTCTTACCTGCCAGACACTGTTCATTTTTGGCTGGTCATTTTGGACAAAAACCTTGACATTTGTGTGGTGGCAGCATTCATGTCAACGGTGAAAAAATGTATCGATTTGAATTTCTTACATTTTTTCATATAACAATGAAAGAATTCTTCCATGATTTCTTGACTGTCGTTGATAATATTTTTCGCTTTTAGAGTTAAGTTGATAAACCTTTGAAACAAAATTTGGCTTTTAAGTTGTTATAGTGAAATAGACACAAAAGAAAGCAATGAATTAGAGCATAAGAAGGTGTATAAGTGGGATACAGTCAATTTCACTAACGTTACTGAATTATAAGGACACAAAGATAACAAAAAATTCATTTAAATAATTATATCATACTTTAAATTGTCTCTCTTAATTTTCTTTAACTGCGCAAAATATCGAACATAAAGCCTCAAAATTTCTTCACAATTTCAATAATAATTTTAATCAAAATTCGCTATCTATGCAAAGTTTATTTTTACACTTTTTCTTGAGAAGTTTAAAAAACAATTTATACAAATGACTTTGTTGTATGTCTTTTGAACAACGTTTTTTGGGATTAATTTCGCCTTGATCCTTGCTCATTGAAAAGGGAGGAGACTTAATGGAGCCAATGATTACCATAGAGTCTTACAGTATAAATCAGTTATTATTTGCCATCCATTAGCAAAACCCATAACTCCTTTCGGTCGTGCAATCGACGTTCGAAAATATTTAACCCTTTCGTCATATTTCGGACAACCTTTCTTAAAATAGAAACTTTGAGCTTTGAACAGTAGTTATTTCTACAGTATTGAGATGTAAGACTTCATTTCCGCCATATTGATCAAGCGACCAGCAGCTCATAACAACAGGGTTGTTCGACAGCCACTGCACATGCTTTTGTGTTGTTGGTATACACGCATCAGGAGTTTCAGAGAACAATGTGTCCGCCATCTTGAAAAGTGAGCCCTGAATCACTGCTTTTGCCTTAGAACAAATTTCATAGCTGCTCAGTCAACTAATCTATCATCATAACGTATATTATATTAGATTTACATTAACTTAGAACCTTTTAATTTCTTTAGGAGTTATAATTTAGTGATTTGAGTCTCACTTTTCAAGATGGCGGATGCATTGTTCTCCGAAACTCCTGATGCATGTATAGACGTGTAAGTTCTACAGTTTTGAAAGTCAATGAAGCATTCTAGAAGATCTAATCGCACACGGCATAATACTGAGATTCAACGTTGTTTATAGTTAATATCAAATAATTATTTGGGTTTCTTCTATAGTTTGTGAAACGTATATACACCTAATTGAGAAAACGTAGTTCGTGTTCGAAACTTTCACGTCATAGAAGCTAAGACCGAAAGGGATTTTGAGAACCACTAAATTGGGATTACATTTGCATATACGGTGTACAGAAAGCAAGTAGAGCTAGTAAGATTAACAGCATGCCAGAGCATGATAGTCTTTTATGCTGGAGAGCTGTTTGTTATGAAATTAGCCAAATTGTTTGTCTTCCCAAGTACCCTTTCGGTCTTAGCTTCTATGATTCCGACAACGTTTCTTCAATTAGGTGTATAGTTAATATAGGTAGTGAGCATTTGTAGTTAGTTGCATCAAGCTTAAATGAGATTAGGACTAGTTCAAAAAGACCAATAGAGAAGTATAAGCTAGGAAAACAAGAAAAGAAGTACGTTTTCACTGCCGAAATGGTCCTTGGTGATCCAACAAGAGAATCCATTTGGAACGAGGTTGACTGGAGTTGTGCCTGATGTAAAATGAATTGACTGTTTTAATCAAAAATACCTTCGTAAAATTACACAAGAAATTACTCTGGGATGTCAGGGTTTCTAAATTTTATTGATGCTTATCATAATATTTATTATCTAACGGTTACTACAATGTTAGTGTAGGGGACATTCCATATTATTATATCAGTTCACTTTGAGTGTAAACCAAATCCATTTTGACCACAATAGTCCGTGAGGAAACCTGAAATTCATAAAACATGCTTAAATTATTTTCAAAATCAAATCAATGCGGGAAGCGGTCAGCTTGCGCAATACATTGGGCAGAATTCTTGATGTATTTTTCATATTTTTTTTTTCAATACATTTATATATTTAAAACAAATAAAAATTGAGCACTTACACAATTTCATTGCTTTAAAAATTTCAATTTCAAGTCACGATTGCTAATAAAGAGAAAAGGATAAAATAAAATAAGACAGGATAGAAAGAGTTGAAGTCCTTGGTTAACCCTAGATTTAGGGTTATCTTTTTAACTTACATGCACTTCTAATCTCCCAGGAGTGTGAGAGTTCTGCACGAACCAACTGCCCGACAGATAGGTTCAGTGGGTAACCGTTATCATTACGGGGCTTGTTCTTCAGGACTAGAAAGTAGTTGCACCATGCACTTTGTGATTTACCACAACCCCGTTTGTTTTTAATTCTGAAAAATATAAAAAGCATTAGCACAA